GCATAGGAAGTTCCGTTCTAATACATGGAAAAACTTTCTTACAGTGAGGGTGACAGAGCACTGGCACAGGCTGCCCAGGGAGGTTGTGGAGTCCCCTTCTCTGGAGATTTTCAAGACCCACCTGGATGCAGCCCTGAGTAATGTGCTCTGGGCAATCCTGCTTTAGCAGGGGAGTTGGACTAGATGATCTCTAGAGGTCCCTTTCAACTCTGAAAATTCTGTGATTCTGTGACAATATGGGGGCCTTTCTGGTCCTGGCGACTCCTCTGGTGTGTTTGGACCATCAGCCTCATTGCCCTTTGGCTGGTCTGCCATGCCCAGGGCCTCATCCCTGTTGTACAGAGGCACCTGAGGAGGGGAGGCAGGCAAGGAGGGGGTTTGCTTGCTGCCCCTAGCACAGACTTGCCTCCATGCACCGTTTTCTGGTAGGCCACTGCCTTCAGTGCCTTCAGTCCTGCAGGGCAAAGAGATGACATCCCTTTGAGCTTGTTTTATTTCTGGTGACTGGTCCAGTCTCTCTTTCAGGGAGCTCAAAACATGGCTCCACCTGTCGATTTCTGTCTTGCACTCCCTCATACTCCTTAGTCTTTCAGCTTCCTCTCTGAGCTGTGCCACACGACTGAGCAGATCATCTACCTGCTCACACCTCACACAGCCATCCTCACTGCTGCCACTCGCTAGCCGTGTGAGGCTGTGGCAGTCCCTGCAGCCTGAGACCATATCATAAGTTGGTATTACACAGGAAAGCAAAATGATAATCCTGATCCCTCTCCCAGAGATAATAAACAGCATTACGGGGAGTACATAATGCATATAAGAATTTACATAACACAGCCACAAACAAACACAAACAAACAAAGCAACATTTTAACTGGTGACTATCTAACTAATGTGAGAAATGCATATAACAAATTTGTTTTAACAAGCTCTGCGTGGATCTCAATGCTTTGGGCCTCGCATTGGGCACCAAAAAGGACTGTCATGGTTTTGGCCTCAGCTGTCCACAAAGAACCACGCGGCTGCTTGCTCAACCCCCATGGCCGAATTGGAAGAAAAAGGCAAAACTCGTGGGCTGAGATAAAGGCAGTTTAACAGAACAGCAAAGGAAAGAGAAAAACAACAACGATACCGCCACGACACCACTCCAAGGGGAGACCTCCTGCCCCCTCCCTTGGCCAGCTCCCCCCTATATAGCCTGGGCATGGCTCATGTGGCATGGAATACCTGTGTCCCATGTCGGATCCTTGGGGACATTAACCCTATCCCTGCTGGAACCAGGACACCAGTGGCGATTACACGGGTATGATCACTTCCCTAGTCCTGCTGGCCACACTATTTCTGATACAAGGCAGGATGCTGTTGTCCTTCTTAGCCACCTGGGCACACTGCTGGCTCATGTTCAGCCAGCTGTCAATCAACACCCCCAGGTCTTTTTCTACCAGGCAGCTGTTGAGCCACTGCACCTGAAGCCTGTAGCACTGCGTGGGGTTGTTGTGACCCAAGTGCAGGATCCGGTACTTGGCCTTGTTGAACCTTATGCCATTGGCCTCAGCCCATTGATCCAGCCTGTCCAGATCCCTCTGTAGAGCCTTCCTACCCTCAAGCAGATCCACACTCCCGCACAATTTGGTGTCGTCTGCAAACTTGCTAAGGGTGCATTCGATCCCCTCGACCAGGTCATTGATAAAGATATTAAACAGAACTGGCCCTAATACTGAGCTCTGGGGAACACCGCTTGTGACCGGCCACCAGCTGCATTTAACTCCATTCACCACCACTCTTTGGGCCCAGCTATCCAGCCAGTTTTTTACCCAGCAAAGCGTACACCCATGCAAGCCATGAGCAGCCAGTTTCTCCAGCAGAGTGCTGTAGGAAATGATGTCGCTCACAGTAGACTGTGTAGAATTTGTTTTTGGGGGGGACCTTGATACAACTGAAATAATTAACTTAGGTGCCTAGTGAAGAAAATATTTAATGTTGACAGCACCAGCACATATGGGAGAAACAGGTCAATTCATTGTTCTTGTAAGTTGTTTGGACTCTACAGGTACATACATTTAAAGAAAAAGCCCACAGAAATTGTAATTTGAGACATTACTTCAACTTGAACCAGAATTCTAGATTTGCAACTTTTAAAGTGTTAGCAGTGCACATATGCTGCCACTGTGTTCAAGCAAGTGTAAGATTCGTCTGTACCAAGGTTCTTTAAGAATTGCAATTTCATTCTAGCAGTATTCTGTATTTTATTGCATGTGCTTTTTAACAACCTAAAAGGTACAAACCTTCAACAATTAATTCATCCTGTGCTGGGTTATACCTTTCTAGATTCTTCATGACTCTGGATTCAGACTTCTGTGTCGCCCAGTTTCTCTTTCCATAGTATAACCCTATCAATGAGAGCAGGTTATATGTGCAGGATGCCAAAGATCTTTTTGGCATATGCCATGTTTGGAATTTATATTTTGTACAATTGTTTAATCTGTTATTCTGTAAAAGAAAAGAGAGACTTAAGATGTTTAATCTGAAATTCTGCATGAATAAATTATTTACACATCAGTGCTTAGTCTTCTTTGAAGTTGTTATATTCTTTTTCACTACAGCTGAAGTGGCATTTGTGACTTTTTCATAGACATGAAGAAGCTATGTGGAATTCTTTACGTATTTTGGTGTAGCCCCTCTGGTCATAGCTTCAGGGTCAGAGAGTCAGTTTACTAAGGTGCTTACTCAACCTGTATGTATTTGAGAATTCCACATCCCGTGTTTGTGACAGTTTGTTCCCTTGTTAAGTATATCAATCTAATGTACAATAGAGATTCTGCTAACAGTGTCATGAGTGTGAGCCAAGAAGGAGGGTACCAGCAGCAAGTTACTGCCTTCTAACATCCTCTTTGCTTTGTTTCACCCTGGGAAACAGATTGGGATTATGTTTTGTGATTTATTCTTTTTTTCTTAGCCAACGAATTTGGCACAAGCATCCATCAAGTATTGGGAGGCATTTGCAGACAAGGATGTATTTGGAAATGAATTGCCACAAGAATGATTTCATTTAACTTCTAAAGGCCACTTGAGAAAGGTCATATTGAGGAAAGTTGAATTGCTGTGGTATGCAGATAGATACCCACCGTTGTCTACCATGTGCTAATGCATTGGGTGTGTTGGTCTTAAATTTGGTAGTGAAAGGAAAGGAGGCAGAGAGCTCTTAAACTCTTTATAGGTTCGCTTTAAGAATGTTCTGGGATGTTGGAGGAAGGGTGCTTGTATGTGTCTGCAGGTGCAACTAGAAAGAAGGGATGCTTGTGTAAGTTGTACTAGATAATATTCACGTTAATATTCACGTTCAGTTAACGTGGATTGGAGTTCTGTAAGATTCTTCCTTTAAATTTAGTAAGATAATAAGATTATCTCTTTTTTTTGAGTGCTAGTCTGTGTGTTGCTTAGGATCATACAATGCATTCAAATCCAGATAAAGGATTGCCTCAGATTAAATCTGTCCAAATGTACATATCCATAAAACACTTTCAGAAAGTCTCAAAAAAAAAAAAAGTAAAATTTGTTTTTAATTGGATATCACACAGTAGGGTTTTACCAAGCCTGAAGTTGTCATCCAAATGCAATGAAGATGACACTCTTTAATCAAGGTTGCTATCCAAACCAATAGAAATAACCTTTTCTTCCCGCCACCCACCCCTTACAAAAGTGAAGATCAGCTTTTTTTTAAGGTTGGTTTTAGTCTGTATTACTTCTAACTTTGTCGTTCATGTTTATGCTGATTTGAGATTACTTTATAGAAGCAAGGGGAAAATGTGTGATGTTACATATGGGCAAATTCAAATCGTCCTAGATTTTGAAACAGAAGAAATTACTAAAAGTGTGCTTTTTGCCCAAATTCATATCATATAACTTACAGGCTCTGCTTTTCTTCGTCTTTTCCATTACTTTCTTGGGTACATTTCTCATTCAGGATCATGGGCAACTACTAAATATAGCCTGAGATATAGTCAAGAATAGAAACTGCAGATAATGCGGCTGTTGCAACAGTTTGGGGGAGCTGAGTTCGAAGGTGCATTTGGTGGGACTGAATGAGTCTGGCAGAGCTTAGTATGTTTGGGTTTGGATGGTCTGCCATTGAGCCTGTGTGTGAATACTGTGTGGATAATCATCTGAGGTGTGATTGTATATTTATAGGATGTCCTATCACCATTCAAGCAAAAGCAAATACAGCTTATCCCATCTTTGATGGAAAGCGTTGTCCTGTTTTCCCTAACAATTTGATAGGAAATATATTTCTTAGTATGTACTTTATCAGTCAAATAAACAGTTTTTAAAGGAAGTTTTAAGCATAGTCAGTGCATAGTGAAGATACAGTTATGTTAATATTTTTCGATTAGTAAAATGCATAGCTTTAACTCTAAGCAAACTGAACATGATTAAAAAGTACACAGCTGATCGTATGCCCGTTGCTACAATGTAGTGCTGGGCGTAAGTGTCTGGCCATCCTGGATGGATATGTTCTTGCTCCCTTCCTTTTGAACCTTAATTATAACTATTCAGGATTTCTATTACAAGTACTAGACAGTGAAAGCATTGTAGAGGTGCTTTCCTTGTGTTCAGATTTCTAGAATATACTTCCCACAGAAAAATCTTTCACTAATGTTTTTCACTAATATTTTTCCCTAATGTTTAGTGCATTTTATTCCACATGCTGTCCTTGTGTTCAAATTTCTAGAATATACTTCCCACAGAAAAATCTTTCACTAATGTTTTTCACTAATATTTTTCCCTAATGTTTAGTGCATTTTATTCCACATGCTTTCCTAGATTGTATTTTTGCTGCAGTTGCTGAAGGTTACTTAGTTTAACACAACCCTTCTGAGAATAGTTTTGCTAGATTTAATAAGCTACTATTTGCTATAAATCAGTCAATATGCCTCCACTTTAGGATATTATTTTAAAACCAGCATCCTACATGAAACTTAATTGCATATTTTTCTCCCTTTCAGCAAGCTACATTGAGCGACCTCAGCTGATTCGAGCAAAAGTGCCAATAGTGAAGTTCAGGGATAAAGTCAGGCAAGTATTCTGTTCAACATCATTTTTTAGACTCTGACACAGGAAAGCACTCTGTATATGTACTGTCCATATGAGTAGTCCCACTGAAGTCACGCTTCTGTTTATTTGTGTTGTGCTATAGCTGTATTGCAGATTTGTACAGCTGGCATGCAGTGCCAGTCAGCTTACTTCCTTAATGGCCTGAAACACCTCTTGTGATGCTATTTAGTTTCTGTGATGTGAATTAGTAGCAGTACATCATGTATTTCTATGGGTTATTTGTGCATAGTGGACTCCGGTTGACAAATGGTTCATGACAGAAACACAACAGTGGGAAGAAAACTATTGTAAAAGATAATTTTGCTTGCTATGCAAACTTAACTATTGAGCTAATTAAGAACTAATTCACAGTGTTAACACTATAGAAACAACACTAAAGCAAACTTAAGTTTCTTGTGATGATGTTTCCGTGATTACAAAATTCTTGTTCATTTTAGAAAAGTATATTCTGCTGTCTTCTAGGGAGGTATTCTTTGTTTAACAAAGTAGTATTACATGTTCTATTCAGTGTTAGGTACTACTCTTATGACATTTTTAGAAGGGGGAAGTAATTGGAAAGAAGTGGATGTGTTGTATGTTATTGTATTCATTGTATCTTCGTTATGAAGCCATGAAAACACATAACCAAGAGGCATGTACTAGGACAGAGAACAATGTATTTCTTTTTGTGTGTGATAAAAGTATCTGATAGAGGAAAAAACTGTGCAAAGCACTCAAATTGGTTGGGAGTCTGAGTAACGTTCAAATCTTCCTATATTTATGGCCTCAGATTTTGTAAGACTTCTGTGTATCACCTTCATGTAATAACACAGCTTGACTGTTCTTTGTAAATAGTACTTTGAACAACTGTCTTGTATCTAACTATCTTATCCTGCCCATACACTTCTAGAATTTTGCAACCTTGTCTCTGTCTTTTCAAAACAAACAAGCCTGCTTCTCCAGCCTCTCTTTATAAAAGCATATCACAATGTGCTTTTGTCACAATATAGCTTCATCCCTACTGTAGTAAAACGAATCTGTCATGTTTTCTGTTTGAACTAATAAATATCATCCATTTAAGCTTTTATTGCGTCGGAGAGCATGTAACACTTGCTAAGGTTTTTGCTTTATACTTTTTTTTTCATTTACACCTAATCCCATATTTACTTCTGTATACTTGCCTGCATTTTAAAAATTGGAATAATTTTTATCTATTAACTTTCTCCTCTAAGAGTACAGAAGGTTGTTTCTCCCATGCTTTCTGAAAGTATTTAACTTGTCAAGCTAAAATTTGGGTTAAATGGCTTAGCTACATGTAACAGTGCTAGTCTTTTCCTAGATACACTAAATGGTAAATTCCTGGAACAAGTCTTGAATAAATCATGAAGATATAGCAAGAATATGTTTTTCCGATTTAAAATCAGAAAATAAACTTTAAAAAGAAACCTTAAATTTGGAAGTGATTATGTCAGAAGATTGAAGTCTTTTTGTAGGCATTTATAGTCCATACTACAGTCACTTGCAAAAAAAAAAAAAAGTAGCACTCATGATATTCATATACCTTAAAGACAGGATTTAAAGAATTCTTTATTTCCTACTAAATCAAAGTATAATCTTCTTAGACTAGAAGCTGCCCATTACATTTTTCAGACAAAAAAACCCAGTACTGTTCACCATCTGGTTTCCTGTGCTGTTTTTTTGGAAGAGGGGAGAGGGGGAGAATGACATGAATTTGGGTTGGGGTTTTGTATGTGTGGTTGTTTTTTTCTCTCCAGTTATTTTTCTCTTATGTAACCTGCCACCTCCACCCACGTTTTGTCTTTTTATTTAAGCGTCTGTCTCTTTCCAGTCTCTTACTGGCCTCTGTCTTTTGCGGTCTCATACATATACATATATGCACGCTCACTCATTCATTTTTTCACAGAGGTCTTGAAAAATGAATTGGATATTCTGCACACAAGGCAGTAAGCTTGTTTTAGCTAAAACCAGAAACTAAATGTGACAAGCTTCCAGTAAAAGCCAGTTTTCTTGATGCCTGGCCACTGTGAGAAGATGGTAGAATTCAATGGGTGGTATAGAACAGAATCATAGAATAATGTGGGTTGGAAAGGACCTTTAAAGGTCATCTAGTCCAACACCCCCTGCAATGCGCAGGGACATCTTCAACTACATCAGGTTGATCAGAGCCCCCTCCAACCTGACCTTGAATGTTTCCAGGGATGGGGCATCTGCAGGCAACCTGTTCCAATGTTTCACCACTCTCACTGCAAAATATTTCTTTGTTTTATCTAGTCTGAATCTTCCATCTTTCAGTTTAAAGTGATTACTCCTTGTCCTGTTGCAACAAACCCTGCAACAAAGTTTGTCCCCATCTTTCCTGTAGGCTCTCTTTCAGTACTGAAAGGCCGCAGTAACGTATCAGTGCATCTGAATACTGACGTGTTGCCAATGGTCCGTATATACCTGAAAACTGCCATTTCCCACTTATGTGATTTGGTGATCGAGAAAGCATTCAGTTTATGTTTGTTCTCCGTTTTCATCTTAAAGGGTTTTTTAATGCTGCAATAGTAATGGAAGAGCCATTGCACTTAAAGACTTTTTTTTTTGTAGTCTTTCCCAGGAAGTAATTCCAATGCTGAGAGCCAGCATTGAGCCAGCAGAGTGCTATCAGACAAGCCTTTGATTAATTAGCAAGATTTTTGTACTACAGAGGATGCAAATGCTTCCTCTTATGTTACATTTGATGTGCAGTTGACTCTTTTACTCTCCTTTAGTGCTTTTGGTACAACTTTTTCACTTGCCATAATTGCAACATCTATGAAATGTGCATAATAAAGTACAAAATAACTGCAATAGAACTTGCTTAATCAGCATTTTGTAAATAATAATCTTGTCAATTGGAGTTAATTGGAATTACACATGCAACCTGACATATTTCTTTATTATATTTGCATATACAACTAATATTCTTACTGGTGTTTATGCTTATTTTTACAACTGTTAAGTGGTATCTCAAGGTTGTTTATTTACTATACTATTATGTACTATGCTTCTGAAACATCTAACAAGTCATGCTTGATATTAATTCAGGTTTAAAATTATGTAATATTTTTTATGCAAAGGATGTTTTAATGTAGTTAATGGTGTCAGAAACCTTTTGTAGGCACCAAATTGATGTGTTTTATCCAGTTTAATGAATTCCAGGTCCATGTTCCCCTTACAATAATTCAAGAAAATCCAAAGGAATATTCAGGCAAACAGATGCTACATGAGTGAAGCTTAGATACATAAAATGGAAATAGCTGGACATTGCAGATAGCTACTTCTTTGTCAATAGTATGCAGATAGCTACTTCTTTGTCAATAGTAGGATATTCTTGTTGCGAATTACAGTGTTGCTATAGCTTATTAACTATGAATTTAATATTGTTTCTTGAGTACCGTGAGTAGTTAAGCTGTATATGCAGTATGAAATTCAAACTTTGGGGCGGGCTGTGATGTAAATAAGGCAGGTCGTGCTTGTTTGCCTTGTTCCTATTTGCTGTTAACAGCATGAAACGGTTAAAAACTTTTATCACAAAACATGCCACATTTACTATTAAACAGGTTTCATTTGAAAGTGCTTGCTGGTTATCTCTGACCATCATTGCAGAAAAGAGATTCTCACCTTTTGACCTCTTCCAGTTCTCCTTCTCAGTTCATTGGCATGATTTCCTAAACTGATAGCCCAGAGAATCTTTCCTGGCATCAAAAGTTGTCCATGGTAAATCATGTAGTGCAAGTCTAGTTGGGAGAAAGATTCATTAAAAATCCGAAACATGTTTGATATATTAAGTTGTCCTAAGGTCTAAATTTGGATCTACATGTATTCTCTATGTAAAACAACATTTACATTTTTATAACAATGGAATTCAAGTCTATAAGCAATTCAAGTACTATAAACAAAACCAGAGTAGAAATCCCAGCATCAAGACTCTGTTTGAAGAAAGTGTCTAGAGTGTTATCTTAAAGTTACATTTCTCCACCTCTGTCACTAAGTAGGTAATAAATATTCTGAAATTGAATACTGTGATGCTTGATTCTTTTTCTTTTCTTCTCCCCGATAGCTGTGTGGAGTTTGACTTGAATGTAAACAATGTTGTAGGAATAAGAAATACATTCCTTCTGAGAACCTATGCATACAGTAAGTTTTTAATGTATTTTCTTATTTCTATAGACTTTGGGGTTTATTGTATTTTGGTATTGATAAACTATTAAAATTCAGTTCAATATATTAGGTTACTATATATATAATTACCTAATGAACTGCATTAGATACCTTTAAGATAACTTCTTGTTCCTCACTCTAAATACGTGGAAAAAACTGATATATCAGCTAGGTGTGTTTTTAATTGAATATTATTATATTCAGAAGATAACGAAGATTCTTCATATTAAGGTCCACATATCTGCTACAAGGGCTGCTTCAGTACTCTGCACATAATGAGATCATGATACTAATGATTAGTGGTATAATCTCCAGTTTCTTTTATTTCATTACAGCCACTGATAGGTATGTGTCGCTGATAGCTGGCTGTGTCTGTACACTGTTAGAGAGTCTTTCCTTGGAAGATCCAAAATACTGCTTCAGTTTTTATACTAACCCCTCCCCAAAACACTGGTTTGTGTCTCCTCAGGACTTTGCATTTTAGGGAGGGATTGTGAAGCAGACTTCTGAAGGGGAAATAATAAGAACAGAGCTCTTAGTGCTAAACTGAGGTTTTCTTACTTAGCATCATAATGTCATTTGGCAGATAAATACATAAGGAATGGACCTCAGGCTAATTCTAGGCCATTTGTGGTTCTTCCTTTACCACCTTCTTCAGTTCTTGCATGTAGGAATTCCTTTCTATTTAGGGTAGGAAGTTAGCAGTAGAAGGTACCTTTACTAGTTAATTTTTACAATATTTTGGTCAGAGTAGTTTCAGCGTTCCATATTCACATTACTAGGAGAGTCTACAACTTGTCCTGGGCCAATTGATCAACTGTAATTTCTTCACACATCCAGGAAAGCATATGCCTGGAAAAGGATTTCCTTCCAAGCTTAAAAAGGTTAGGGAAGTAATCTTTGTCTTTCACAGCTACAGGTGAGGGGCCACTTCACCAAGTCTGACTTCTGCCACAGATTTTCCTGATTCCTCTCAGCAAATCACTGTAGGGCAGACAAGTGTCCAGATGTGAACAGAGCAGTGAAAGGGGTCCTAGTGTCCCACCTTTTCTTCTGTTCTGCCTTGGTGCCCACTTTTATAAGGCAAGCAAAATTAACTTTATGTCTCCTGATGAAAGGTAAAATTCTTATTTTCTTGAGGTTAAGGAGTGAGTTAGTAGCTAAGGGAGACTTGTGGTTGAAAGGATTGTCTTAAATAGGCAAACTATATCAAGCACAGTCTGTCTTGTCTTCTTTGGACCAGAAGACTCTCAGATGACATAAGGCAAACAAAAGTAAATAGAGACTTTTATCAGACAGTCTCTTTACGTACTTTTAGAAGTCATATCAACGAGTGTGGATAGCATTAAAAGTATTAGCCTGCTTATTTAAATTAGTGGCTGAAGGGCTTCACCCTGCATGCGAGAACAAAAGATCACACTACCTCTTATGTAGAAGATGTAAGGGTCTCCTTGTTCCATTAGAACAAATTAGATGCTCAGGCAAACAAGGGACTCATTATCTTTGTGACCATGATAAAAAAAAAAATCATAAATATTTCTGTGGATGCTCTTGTGTCTTTTTTGAAATCAGGCCTTCTATGTTGGTGCATAGGTGCTGTAGAAAACATCAAAGATGATACGGCAAAGTGAAGCAGAATGTCCACAGAAAATGTGGGTAGATTAAGCAGAGCTAGAAACTGAAGTCTATGCTGTTGTGTTATCAGTTGCTTGCCTAAGGAGGCATGTCTGCAATTAAACCAGCAATTGATGGTAGGTATTTTTCAGTTAGTTGAAGCTGGACCTTTGAGCAAATGACATCACTGTGCATTTTCTTGAGTGGGTAGCTTGCTGACTGATGAAAGAGTATCAGGAAAAGTTTACTGGCTATGTTGCACAGTAACTTTGTTATATGCTAATCACAGGCACTAGCAGACAAAAAAACGTATCTCAGAATGTCAACTAAAAAGAGATCTTGTCTACTGTGACGCACACACACAAAAGAGTCCTGTTTGGAATTTGGAATTCTGTCATGCAAAACTCCTATTTCAGTTAATGCATGGCCATATGATGTCTGTAAAGTAATTCTTCTGCATCTCACAGTTAGTGTACCAATAGTCTTATTTTTTTTCAACCGCTGGTGAATAATGTTGGGAATGAGGTGACTGGTGGTAAGGAGTTTTGTTGTTTCTAAGAGGTCTTCCAGATCTAGGTCTGCAGGGGCATGTGTGGTGAACCGCTGTGAACAAGTTGCAAGAAAATCACATGCTTGATAGCATTTTCAGAATAACAGAGAGCAGCCGAACTGGTGCTTTTGTAAGATGTATGTTGTCCTGGATGAAGTGATTACCTATTGTTATCTTCCTGTCCTGATGTGCAGAATACAAAACTTTGCATAATGTTGTCTGGTTAGAAAAGATGATCCAGAACATATAAGGCTTTGTAAGGCTGTCATAAGGAACTTGACTGAGCTGATGATATGCTTCCACATATCTGCAAATAATAGTATTCTGCAAGGTCCCTAGGAGGTGGTGGTGAGTGACATCTTCCTACAACACATCACTACCTCAGTTAGAAGGCTATCTGTATTCCCCAGAAATTCAGAATATCATACCTGGCATATGACTGTATTTATGTCTTTCCTTATGAAAAGCACGCGTCTTGATTTAATGGATTACTGTATCTAACACTTCATCTACATAAAAAGCTATTGAGGACAAGCCAAATTTAAAATTAATGTTTGTATGCAGTAATTAAATTAATGTTTGAAAGCTGTATGTTACTGCTTTCACCGATCCTGACGAAAACTTAAGAATGAGCTCGGTGTCCTTTTCCCTGCCCTCAGAGTTTATAAAACTTAAATAAATAATGATAAAAAAAATTAGATGTTCTCTGTCCTGGCAGCAAGTTAATTCAGGGAAAATTATTACAATGAACTGGAGAGAACTTGAATTGGAATGTGACACTGCTACATTGACTGATGCATCCAGTTTTTCTTATCTGCAAGTTAGTTGGCATACTCCTTGTAATGCATCTGTGGATCTTACTAGTCAAAAGACTGTTTTCAAATGCAAATATTTTTTCTGAGTTTTATAAGATGAGTAGTAGTTGTAGAATAACTAATCGATTTCTATAAAATGCTAGCAAAAGGTAACCTTAGAATGCAAGAGTATCATGTTGATCAAGTATGAACAAATGTTGATTGATTGCTCTCCAGTTAAATGTGCTTTTTTTGAGATGTATTTATTTTATTTGCAGTTGAGAATCGAGTTCGTCCATTAGTACTTGTTGTTAAGAAGTGGGCGAATTTTCACGAAATAAATGATGCCAGTCGTGGTACTTTAAGCAGCTATAGTCTTGTATTGATGGTTTTGCACTATTTACAGAGTAAGTATTTTTTTATGTGTTGAAACTTTCCCTTTTAAGTTCATATTTGTGTAGTTTTCCTCTTTAATAAAATGAAACACCAGCAGGAGTCATCTTCCACACAGAAAAATCTGAAAATAAAGTGGGTTTACTGCATTTCCTTAGTGCTGCATTTTTCTTTAACAGTGGACTTTGTCTCTGGAGGCTTTAAAAGGTAAAAATTACCAGCTTTAGAAGGGAAAAATTGAAAAAAAAAAAAAATCAATGTACCTGCAGGACACTGTGTAACTATAACATAAACTCAAGTGCTAGTTAATAAAAGTCTGCCTTTTAACAAAGGGAAAATAAACTCAAGCTCTAGTTAACAGAAATCTGCCTTTTGACAAAGGGAAAAGCCTAAACATAACAATTTCCATGTGTTTGGTGTTTTTTTTGTTGTGAGTTCTGTTCGTTTGGATTTTTTTGTTTTGTTTTTTTTTAATTTGGAAACTTCCAAGAAAATTCAAAGGGACAGCGCCTGCTGTGTGATCTTGCTGTCTTCTGGTGAGCAAAGGACTGAACATGGGGAACATATATATGCAAGAATGCGCTGCCGTGTGGTTAGATTTTTCCACTGATTACTGTCTTCTGTAAGGTGACAGATGTCAAAGACCATTAGAAGTTGGGATATTTGACTGCCAGTGGCAGTATCTTTTCTTGTGACTTCAATATATTGAGACATTGAACATCTGTAGGGAGCTGGAAAGCTTTACCTCAGAAACTAAGTATCCCTGTTGAGAATTCAAGAATTCCATCCAGTCCAAAAATGTTATTGAGGAATAGATTGCGATGAGCTTATCCTCCCCCTATTTCTTTCTGTTATTAGAGGAAGACCACGTTGGTAATTTTTGTAGTTTGGAATTCTTGCTTAAGACATAAGGATTCTAATTTAAGAAATCATTTAGCTCAGTATGAGTTTCTTGGTTCTTTATTGGGAGATAAGTGGCTTCAGAAAGGAAGGGAATGAACCCTGAATTATACATTTCGTGGAGTAGCATGCCTGTAGAAGTGTTTTCTTAATTCCTGTCAGTTCATGTATAGGCGGTATATTTTGCTGCTTGTATTTATTCTACACCATTGTTTTATTTTTTCTGTAATGTGCTGATTATTCTTGTTCAATTTATTTTAATGGCAACTGGTTCTTAACATTTTTTATCCTATCTGTGGACAAATAGCATAGGCTCTCATTTTAGACTTTCCCCCTTTGTCAGTTTGTGTAGGTTTTAACCTTTTTTTTTTTTTTTTTAGATCAGGTAGAAACAATCTTTAGCTCTTCTGACAACTTGTTTGACCTGGAATGTACTTGCTGTAGAGTGGGTAGCCAACTATTTATTATTTTCAAGATCATGCTACACCCACTCTGTACTAGGGTAGAAACTTTTTTATGATAGCTGACTCAAGCTTGTGGCTTTCTTTCAGCTGAACAGTATCTGTAGTAGGGGACCTAGGAGGGTGTATTTGGGATCCAGTTGGATGGACTTTGATGCCACACTGTGTGCTTGTTGTTCATGTACCAGTCATGAGGACAGTAGGACATAAGCTAGTCTATCCAGTGAATATGTGTGTTTTTCTTCTGCGTCTACTATGGAGGAATTCCATAGATTTCTTTGTTTCTGTGGAAAGAAAAGAAAATGTGGTCAAGTCTATCATCACAGCTCTGAAACCATGCTGTAGGTGACTGAGTAATTCAATATAGAGCCTTAATACACAAAAGATAAAAAAAAAAAGCAATCAAACAAAAAATGTTGACTCAGTGGAGATTAAATGACAATTAACTTAAAAATGCCAAAGTGATTATTAGATACAAGATTGAAAATGTTGGGAACTACTGGATGTGAAGACTGCTATGCAAAGCTGAAGCACAACCAGGAGAGGTTAAAACCTATGTTTACATGGTCTAGCAATTAGTGACCATCTTAACAGTGACTTGATAAGCATTTGATAGTTAGCTTTACAGTTTTAATGGAAACAGGCCTTTTCAGCTGGAAATTTATTCTCCAAATCTGTTTTCATTGTATTGCAGTTACTCTAGAGACTTGTATTGGGTGCTGTGTGCAGTCATGGATAGCCAATTACTGAGCTGTGCATAAAACTAATGCACAAAAGGGAAAAGAGTAGAAGTTACAAGGAAGTATAAATGTGTAGACTTGCCAGAATGTTAACAGCCCTGAAAGCATGAGGGCATTTGCTGTAGTCGTCTGTGGCAGCTGCCACAGCTGTCTAGGGAAGGGAAAAAAAAAGTTCAAATAATCCTTTTCATGCAAAACTATGACCAGTCAGCTGCCTGAGAAAGATCAGCAGTCCACAGACAAAAGAGAAGCCTTTTACCTGTGCTTCATCAACCTTTTCTGCTAAAAAGGCTGATGTGTGGCTCCGGACATGACGTGTATCTAGCATGAGCTGTTTAGAGTCTGATGTTTTATTCATGCAGATTCTAACCTTTTCTTTTTCTTTTTCTTTTTCTTTTTTTTTTTTCATTTCTGCTATATGCAGGTGATGCTACTGAATGTAGCTTGTGTCCTGGTCATAGAATTTCTAATAGAGCTTTTGTTGATGTTCCTGGGAGGAAAAAAAATAAAAAGAAAAGCTTTCTTTTGCAGTAAATAGTGTCCCTGTCTTCACTAGGCAAATTTATTTCCTTTACTACTTAATCCATTTCCATATTCTGATACTCGTGTGGATATCTTTGGACCTGAGGTCAGTGTGGCTTGAGTTTATTTTGTAGTTACATCAGTGTCTTGTATGTGAACTTTCCTCCAGGTAACAGGTCCAACTATCATGTACAGTAAGTAAAGGAAAACTCATGTGGCGAATGCCAGTGGTAAGTGGTAACTTTCCCCTTAACTCCATCCTCTTCATATACCAAACAGACCCAGATAAAGTATCTTGATTGCTTGTATTGCTCATATTTTGTTGCCTTTTATCTTAGTGTAGCAGAGAACTGGAAATTATCCAAGATATTGCAGAAATAAGATGCTCTTGCATATTTCTAAACACCCACAATCAAAATAAAAATATTATTAAAGCAGCTGTGATCATATTCTTAGCAGTCCTGCTAGTTAATTTAGTATACTCTTTGAAGACATCCTGGGCATGTGCTGAGAATTCTGCTGTTCTGATTCTTAGTCCCTATGGAAAACAATTCTGTAACATCTCATCCCTGTGAGACCTTGTCTGAAGGGTGAATTAAGTCCCAAGTCAAAGTCCTGTGTGCTGAACTTAATTATCATTCTCACTAGTGAATGATGTAGACAAACTATTTTAAAAAAATGCTGAAGACATGATGTTAAAACTTTCATATTGAGGAGTGCTTCAGCAGTTCTGTAGCTGCTGTAAGACTTGTGTAGGCTGTGAATACTTCGGGATTTTTTTTTTCTATCTGAGAACCACCTAACCTGGGATAAGTTTTTTCCCTGATACGTGTATTTTGCAATAGGTGCTCTCCTGTCCATGACTTTCATAAAAGTTACAATTGTTTAGTTCATGTTGTGTTTGTTAGTATTGTTAATATCTGCATAATCTTTATAACCTGTTTGCCGTTTAGGAGATCAGCTAACAGCGTTAGGCTGTATTTATGTATCTTACGAGAATTTTGCTAGCAATGCCTACTAAGTGTGTTGGGCATTTTATCTTTAGGTTACTTTTGGAGACTCAGTATGTAATCCTTTGCAGTTGACAAATGTGTACTATTGTAGTAACTGGAGACTTCCTATGCTGTGATAGAATCACGTTGTATTAGATGTAGGGATTTTTTTTTTTTTTTCCTTTAGGGAATCTAGATGAGTTTCTTATAGTCATGAATTAACATGAATTTTAAAAGTGAAGTCGTACCCAGCTGCTGTAAAATTTTTGATGTCTTCTACAAATAGTAGTGTCTTAGTAACAGCTTCCCATAGCTGAATTAACTCCTTATACTACTATATACAAAATATAGTAATAGAACAATTTGCTGAATAACTTTTATTTTACAAAATGCATGAAAGTGAAGTTCTTGGTAGATGTTTTTAAGATGGAATTTCAGTCCAACCCTTTGGTGTAGTTGATATGATATTGTTTCCTGTGAATTACATGAATCACAGCAACTTTAAACTTTTGTTTTATAGCCCTACCTGAACCCATCCTTCCATCCCTCCAAAAAAATTACCCAGTAAGTGTTTCTTATGAATTTACTACATCATATATGTGTATGAAGCTGCTTATCTAAAAATACATGAGTTCTTAAATATCTCTAATGGATTAAGTTAAACAGTCTGTAAGCTTGGTCATTGATACACTAAACGTAAGCTTGAAAAAGGTTATTTGCTGCTTTTTATAATTTCTTTACTGAAAACAGTCCATTATATATGAGAAGATTTCACACACAGTTGGAAATGAGTGCTAATGAGAGCTGCTGACCTAATTCTCTTTATGCTCACCTGAAAATATCCCTATGTCATCTGTAACTTTCTCATTCTTATTTCTTAATACGTTAAGTAGTGTTTTTTCCATTCAACTCTGGTGTTTCAGAATTCCATACCTTCCCACAGTTGTTGAGTTGCCTGATATTTCTGGGTGCAGAGAGTGAATTATATATGTTTACTAAGAAGACTTTCGAGACCTCACAAAATTGGGCTTCAGTCCATCAAGAAAATTACTTTTAGGGGCTTTGCTGTTATGTCCAGATCATATTGTTGATTTTCAGAGAACTCTGTGATTTGGTATGCTTTGATCCTCTGCAGAATTAGGACTGTAATTAGTGAGACTTAGTCTAAGGAAGATTACCTAGAAATAAGAGCTACCCTCCTAAATATTTGTCTGGGGACAAAAGAGGTATTGCTGAATAGTTCTATCCTATAACTTGTTCACAGAAATCCCTCAATTTCTTCCTCCTTGCCTTTCCTCTCACATGTCAATTTTTAAATTTTTTTTTATTCATAGTTGCCATAGCTTGGTGTCCCTGTCTATGTATGTTGTTTTTACTGTTGCTAATAAATGTGCTGAGGTGGTATCAAAAAGTTATTCTTTCTTTTGCATGTGTTTCCTATAATGCTGAAAAGGGAATATTTGATGGCACTGTACATCAGGGAGAAAATACTGTGGTGTCAGCCATTTTGGGTAATTAGGATCATTGAGATGCAGCAGAAAGCTTTGAGCTGTAGAACACTGCAGTTTTATTTCTATTTTGTAGACCTGCTTAGGCATACCTGTGCTAAATTTTTATGGTCTTTATTTTTTCCTCTGATTTTTTTACTGTACTATATACCTTCTAATTTCTTCACTGTTAGTGCTCAAAAGCATTCAAAGCTGTTTTTCACTTCCTGATGGGTTTCTGCTAAATTTGCTAATTGTGTTTACTTAAAGCTCACACGCCATAGCATTTTAAGTTTTGTGTAGCATGTAATTTAAAGAAAACAACTGGAAGAATTGGGAACTTTTGACTCCTTTGTAATAATAATGCAAACTTTTATATTTGTAGTGTTTGAACTGTATAAAGGCCTTCAGACCACTATGCAAATGTTAATGGCTTAAATGATTAAAGCAAAAGTATGCAATACCATAAGCTGAAACATCTAATGAATTTGTGCTAAATGCAAGGTTTTATCTTGTCTCTTGTGAAAGTGGTAAATCACTTGAAGGTTTCTGTGTTTCTACAACACTGCTGTAAGACAACATTTTTTACCCGGTTTCATTGTAGATTTGTTGTTGTCGTTTATCTTGCCCTTGGAGGATGGACTAAATATTCTAGGATTTCTAATAAAATAAAAAGAATATTTTGTACATGCTTACTATAAAACCAAATCAAAACTATAGCTTAAAATTTAAAAAAAAATATGCTAGAAATTTGCAAATACAGTTTTTCTCTACTGTCTCCATTAGGAATATAATTAAGTGTTTAAAAATTGTGAAAGTTACAATTTCTGAGTAGTGGTATTGCAAAGAAATTTAAAAGTAAAATAAGAAATACACCAAAATAATTCTGGTCTTTTAGCTTGCAGTAATAATTACAAAGCATGAGCAAATGTGTCAGCATCCAAAGAAACCGTATGTTTTTCTAGTGATTGTAGCTGGTCAAAGCTGTGTCTCCATCCTAATACTAGACATAAACACTGTTTTTCCCCTTCTAAAACAAACCACCCTTCCTACAGTTTTTGTACAAACTCAGATCTGCAGCTCTTTCTGCAGCCTGAAAATACTTCTACGCTTTGAAAGAAACAGCTTGTTTTAAATTGTAGGTGCCATGTAAAGGAGACGTGCTTACCTTGAGTGAGAAACAAAAGGCAGATTCTGTGACTTGGTATATCCCTACTGCAGGCGTGAAGGGTGAGAAGTCCTGGAGAGCCACCAAATCTGCCCACCTGTGCATTCTGTTGCCACGGGGGAGTCTCCAGCTGGCACCCAGCTGCTATGTTTTGCAACCGCTAGTTCAGAGGAACTATTGGACCATATCAGACGTGGGGTTGGATTTTGGGGCTTCCTCCCCCGCCCCAGCCAGATGGGGTAGCTGAGAGTGGCCCAGAAAATGTGTTGATCCGTTCTGAAGTCTATATAGAACTTGCCTCCAAGTCAGGACTTTTACAGATGAGCTCTGGAGAACCTGTGGTGGGTTAGGCCATTATGGCTTCTGGTTGTTTTGCCTGTGTGTTTGCCAGAGGTGACCATTGCTGCAACTGGGAGTCAGAAGGGAACGCATGCCTGAGTCTCCAGTGTTCCAAAGCAGCCTGGCATATTAGCTTAAATTCAGATGGAGGTGGGTCTCCACTAGTGCTCTGGATTGTGAACTTCATGAACTCTAGCATGAGCACATTTTTGTTTCTGCTGCCTCAGCTTCGCAAGCAGTCATATCTTTCAAAGGATGGGGCAGAAGATGGGATGGTGTTTACTGTTGCTCCTTCATGCATGGGAGTCAGTCCTTGGACAGACATGATTTGCTTCACTCTTCGAGTTGCACTTTTTAAAAGTATAAACATGAGTTAAATGTTCATTTGTAAGACTGGGGAAGGCTATTTTATGTGTGCAAATATAGATACCTATTAAAAAATGGTGAGATACTATGCTGATGTTGCCCCTGTAAACTTTTTTGAAGGAAGAACCTTGTACATTCGCAGTTAAACACATTATTCATCAAGATATTCAAATGTAAAGATTTTTTTGATGTACACTTGTGTTGCTTTCCAGTGTGTAAGGTGGAATGAGAATATGTGTAAGCACTCTGTAGCTTGAACATGAAGCATGTTACTGAATGCTAGTGTTTCCTTGAGGAATCAGCCAACCAAGGTCAAGATTAGAGATCTGGAAAAAAAAAAAGGGGGAAAAAAGGCTTTGGGGTATTTTGAAATAATGGATAGCTCATTTATATTTGTTGCTTAATCATCCTTCATCCTGAATTTCTTTGCCATTTCTTAAGACGGCATAAGGCAAAGAAACAGCAAGCAAATTAGGGCCTAGTTTTAAAAGAAGCTGAATTTTTTGGCCTGTAGAGCAACTGAAGGAGAGAAAGCTTATAAGGAAGGCCTACTTGAAACTAAGCTGATTTGAAGGATGCTTTGTAATTCTGTTTTATTACCAACCTCCCTTATGTGTGGAGTCTATAAGCTGTACCTTGTTCTGTTTATCTAGTTGTTCCCCAAGTACCTCTGGCAGGAAGGAGAGTACCGTTATCACTGTTTTACGATAGGTGAATGGAGGTGGGTTCAGGCTAATGGATTTTCATGGGTTGTCTGTGGAAAAGCAGAAAAGTGAGCCTGCGTATCCTGTGGCTGGTCTGACCGCTTGTTCACTGGACACTGAGTGGTTGCTTTGTTAAGAAATGACCTTAAACAAACTACATTGTTGGTTATTGATATACTCAATATTGGTATATCTTTACATCTATACATCATTAAATCTTCCCCATACCCAATTTTAAGCAATAATTAATTTCGTTTTACATGTAAAACTTTCAAATCTGGTAATAGCAATTTCTTCCATAACAATTTTTCTGTATTTCAGAAAGATGAAGCACTTCTTTTTTTTTTTTTTATTCTACAGGTAGTGATCAGCAGCTCACAGTGTTTAAAAAAATAAGTTGACTAACAATATCAGAAACATATGTTTAACAGTTTTCTTTAGTTAATGCAAAATAAAAATCTTTTCTTCCAGAAAAGTAGTTTCAGTCATGCTTTTCACTTTGTGATACTTAGTTGTCTCTTTAAGAGTCTTTCTCATAGTGGTATAACCACTAAAACAAGTGGAGATGGGAATTATGTATACATGACTCTTAAACTAGGTGGTTGGGAGTTTAAATGATTAGCTGCTATAGACTGTAACTTGCATTTTTACTAGAGCACTTGTATAGAATAATATGTGTTTATTTTTTGAAGGCAAGTGCCTTTCTGAGTAAGGAAAACTTCGATTTGCCTGACCGTTGTGAGGCAAGTGTATTTAATATACGTGGTAAAACTTGGAACTGCAAGTTTCATAAAATTGAATTTGCTTTTGAAAAAAAAATAAACATCATAATTTTAGATTGCAAAATTGAAGAGTTTTAATCCTAGTTACTAAATGAAGATTTAGAAAATTGCCTTCCAATGCAGGTGTCGTGGTTTAGGCTGAACCGGCCACTGGGGATGTGGGGGACCCCAGATAGGACCGACAGATGCTCCACTCTATCCCCTCTTCAAAGAGAGAGGCAGAAGAGGGAAAAGAGACCTACGAGTTTCGAAGGAACTAAATTACTTTAATGAAATATTAATAATTTTAAAAAAAAGAAATATATACAAAACCATATCAAGCTCCCAGGATGACTATCACGTCACTGGCTGGCACTGGGAGAGTCCCAGACTGGACTCAGATGACGGATGGGAACTGGATTCAGGATCTGGATTCAGGATTGGGATCAAAGGCAGACGTACAGAGTCTTCCTCGGACACCGGCCATTGAAGAAAGAGGCTGAACCTTTTATCCCTCAGCCTTTATACAGAGCATGAGGGAGATGGGATGGAATACCCCGCTGGTCAGTTTTGGGTCACCTGTCCTGTCCAGTCCTCCCTGCAGGTGCAGCCCCTCTACTCCGACACTCCAATGAGGCAAATAACAAATTGAGCTGGCCTTGGTTGTTAGAGCAGTAAGTATAAGCAAGAGCCTTTTTGCATACTGTTTCTTGGCATCAGCTGTAAACATAGGTCTTATCACTCTGAGAGCAAACAGTTTCTGCACAATATGCTGTTAATTTCAGTAGTTAGAAGAGGCCCAGCTAAGAAGCAAAGTTACTGAACAAAATCGGTCCTGTTTTACCTCAAACCAGGAGAGCAAGTTAGGAATTTTACCTCTTCTGCCATGGGTAGGAATCTTTGGAATGTGGTACATTTCCTGCTCCTCAAATTTGGAGACTTTTAGTTTTATCACTGCTGCTTACATGACTTCTGATCAGTTGCAAACTCAGTGAAGAAAAAGACAAACTAAATATCCTGAAAAATGCCTTCATCTGGACTGTGCTTCTATCATAATCACCCTTTTTAAAATACAGATTTGTGATTTTGAAACTCTGCAAGGTTTTGTAACTTCCTATGTCGTTAACTGCCAACAAATCTTATTGAAAAAATATTTTTGGACAAAGTTGTATTTGATATGCTTTTGCTCTTCAATTTTTTCTGGATGTAGGCATACACATACAGGCACACATGTATTCTCCTTTTCTTGCCAAAAGTTTTATTACAACTATATTTGACATATTGTCTTTTGCTATTAGTATAACTGTTGATTATGTTTTTTCTTATTCAAACGATGTACAAACACTATTCAAAATTAATTGTGATCAATATATAAAACGTAAATAAAATGTACTTAAGGTCAAGATTGATAAGAAAAAGTAACATCCTCTCTAAGCTTGTAACAGTACTAGAGAAAATAGCTTATTTATAATCCCCAAAAAATAATATCCCAAAGTCTAACTTTTTAGCTGCTCAGTATGCCAGCCTCAGTGTGTGGGCAGATTTTTCTTGCAGTTGTGAAGTTCTCAGGCATTTAAACATTCAAAGCATAAAAAAAAATCTCATGTTCTCCTTTTCGAAAATGTTTGCTGCCTCCAAACATTTACTTATTAGTCTTAGTAGACATCTGTTGTTGTAACTGCATTGCATTTCTGTTTTGTATTGTTCAGAGGTCAGCAGCCCTTGTTCTCATTCCCTCCACCCCCTTGGTGCCCATTTCCTTATAAGCTGTTATATGCTAATACTAAATTCATTTGTTGTGATTCTTCTACAGTTTTCTGTGGGAATGGGCAAGGAGTGACTTTCACTATAGTACCTGTCTGATTACCTTTGGGGTTAAAACGGTATATACTGTATAACATAAGAACAGCTGTTCCCCTTTTAGGTCTTTATATGCTGCACATCTCCTTTTTATGTCTATCTGTCTCCATGGTTTTGGTGTGTTCTTTTGGATTGTAAGCTGTTAAATTCTGAGCTCTGCTAACTGTAATAATATTTTATATGCAAAGTTACATCATATGGGAATAAGACTTGAAATTTTTCATAGCTGGAAGAATGGCCTTTTTTCCCAGAAAGTGTTGCATAAGGTTCCAGGAAGTTTTGCTAGAATTGGCAAAAGAGGATGGGAGTCCCAAACTTTCCAGTCTTCCCGGTTTGATTGCTAACCATACTTTTCTCAGAGGAAGCAATGCCAGCTGTGAACATGGAAATAGTATTACAGTGTATAGTGCTTCCAGTGATATTCTAGTACTATATAGTTTGAGTCATGCCTGATACTACTCTTTAAAATAACAAAGGAGTGGGAGGGGAGGTACAGTGATGACTGAATAGGTTCCTAAATTTACATAGATGTATTTCTTTATGTGAATGTAAAGCTTGGTCTTGTGTATTTTGGGTTCATTTTCCTTAAAATACACAGCACTGCTGTAAAATGTAGTATCCTGGTGTTACCAGGTTTTAAAAATTGTTTCTCTGGCAAGAGAAGATACATTCTCCTCCATGTACCCCAGTCTCTCAGAGGAACCTAAAGGATGCAGTGGACACCCAAACAGTATAGCAGATCTAAACCCATGTTAATTTAGTCTTGTGTAGATTCCTTCTGAGGCTGGCAATAGTGACTTCTGTTTATAGTAAACCTGATTTTTTCTTCACCACCCCCCACCCCCCCTTACCCCCCCAAAAAATAGCATACTTCAGCTTAAATGCTGCATTCTGTGTATTCAGGCTTTTTCTATAACTTCTTTGTTTTTATTATCCTTTCATCAGGTTGGCTAGAGGAGGTGCTGCTGCAGTCTTTGAACTCATTATGTGGGAGGGTGCAGGTTCATATTAGATCCAGTGGGTTTCATATTCAACTTTAACTCCGTGCTGTGGGAAAAAATAAGTCAGGCCTTCCTTTTGGATTGTTTCTATGCCACAGTTATGGAAACTTAGTGATAAGTGTATTAGCTTCACCTATCCTATCTCAGTTAACTGCAGCCAGCTCAGTGCAGGCTACCTCACTCAGCTTCTGCTCATATGGTTTTACTAGCAAGTAAACGCAAGTCCAGTTCAGAGATTCTCCCATGTTAAAATTCTTTAGCAAACAGAAGGCAAGGGATGGTCTCGGACGCTCCTGTGCAAGATGATTCTAGTTCAAGGGGAGTAACTAGTAACCAACAGAGAAGCACAAGAGAAACAAAGAGTTCTTTGCTTTTAAGTTGTCCTTGAACTTCTAATAAACAAACGATAGACAGCTTTTTTATTGTGAAAAATATATGCATCTAGATTAAGGCTGCGTGTGTGTGTATACACATGGTCTCTGATTTTCTTTTGACAGGAATCTTTTGATCCTACTATGCAGTTGCATCTTGTTCATCAAGCTCCATGTACCATTCCTCCTTACTCCTCAAAAAATGGATCAAGCCTTGGAGATTTGCTAATAGGCTTCTTCAAATATTATGCCACAGAATTTGAGTAAGTAATAAGCTCACCTTAGTGTTTTAGAATACGCAAAACTTCGATTCCTTCTATCCAGTGTATCAACACTTAATAACCCTTGAAGAGAAGGAATAGCAGTAATGCAGGAGTGGTAACTGACAGAGAGGAAATGGGTAAAAACAATAAAGGACAACAGGAATGCTGATAAAGAATGTCTGACATCTCTTGCTTAGCCAAGCATCCCATCCTGTAAAATATCTGCCAGAAGTTAGAGATCTTTGTCCTTTAAAAATAGCTGGGTTTTGTTATATTATGCTATTCTAAAACTGTATATCCATGTGTGAGAAAAATCTATTCTTAGTTGTAGTTTAACGTATTGATTGTGTTATGAATTATTTGAACCTTAATAGCTGTGCTTGTCTTCTGTCACCCCGAGTCAATGGAGGTAACTGACCAGGTGGCTCCTTACTTTGACTATGATATATATCAATATAGGCCACACCTAGTGAAGAATTATCCCATTCTCTCTCCACTCTTGTGAGACCCCACCTGGACTACTGCATCCAGGTCTGGAGCCCCCAACATAAGAAGGACATGGACCTGCTGGAGCACATCCAGAGGAGGGCCACGAGGATGATCCGAGGGCTGGAGCCCTTCTCCTGTGAGGAGAGGCTGAGAGAGTTGGGGCTGTTCAGCCTGGAGAAGAGAAGGCTCCGGGGAGATCTTATTGCGGCCTTCCAGTACCTAAAGGGGGCCTACAGGAGAGCTGGGGAAGGACTTTTTACTAGGGCATGTAGCGATAGGACGAGGGGGAATAGCTTTAAACTGGAAGAGGGCAGGTTTAGATTAAACACTAGGAAGAAATTTTTTACTTTGAGGGTGGAGAAGCACTGGAAGAGGTTGCCCAGAGAGGTTGTTGAGGCCCCATCCCTGGAGGTGTTCAAGGCCAGGCTGGATGTGGCCTTGGGCAACCTGGTCAAGTGGGAGGTGTCCCTGTCAATGGCAGGGGGGTTGGAACTCGATGATCTTTAAGGTCCCTTCCAACCTAAATCATTCTATATAGCTGGTTCACTAACCTTGTTGGTTTGCTACAATCTGAGTTTAATTTTGGCGTCTGGACTTTTTTGTGAAAGAGAACACGAAGCTGAAGTTGTGAGGGCATCTGAGAAAGCTGCAGGTTATTTGCCAAACTGTCATTTGAGAATTTCTTAGAAAAATTGCTTGTCCATGTACAATATTGAATTACACTCTTCTGCTTCCAACCCTCCAACGGGGCAAGTAACCAAGTTAGCTGGCCTTGGTTGTTATATCAATAAGTATAAGCAAGAGCCTCTCCGCATACCATGCCTTGGCATCAAGTACAAACATAGGTCTTATCACTCTGAGAGCAAACAGTGTCTGCACAATATGCTGTTAATTTCGGTAGTTAGAAGAGGCCCAGCTGAGAATCAAAGTTACTGAACAAAATCGGTCCTGTTTGACCTAAAACCAGGACAGGTAATATTTCAATAAGCTTAAGGATCTTCTAAAGAACTTGTTTCTGAGGCAGTTCGTTTATACGTGTTGCTGTCCTGTGTATGTACATCATATCTATTTCCCTGAAGGAGAACAAAATGTATAACTGCTGGCTATTCATTATAATTTTTGAAGCGTTCATCTTTTACTTCAATGTAAGAAGTGAACAATCACGAAATCCTTGTAAGAAAACATCACTGCGGTGTGCACCACATGTGAAATATGTAAGCTAAATCCATATACCCTGTGGTAATTCATGAACTAACTGCATTTTGTGCTTGCTTAAACCTGATTTGGAGACATTTTCACATAAAGGATTTTCCGTCCACGATCTCTGCAGATAAGGGAATGGTCTTTTGTCTAAAAGTTGCTCCTGAGTACCTGTCCTTTCAGCAGGCAAGGTGCTGTTTGCTTAACAGGTAAATCAGAAGACATTGCTGGGAGATATCCTCAAGTTCCTAATTATGTGGAACACTAGATGCATCCTCTACTACTTGTCTGTATAATGAGCTGTTAATCTTCTCATATGTGAAAGTAAATTTCTTTCCTACTAAAGAAGAAGTTTCTGTTTTGCCTATGTAAACTAACAGAGAAGATCTTGTCCAAATGCAGGAAAAATACCTACTTTGACTTTTCTGGTTTGGGTGCTTGTGAACATAGTTGAGCAGATTTCTGCATAAGTAGTAGCTTGTCCAGGAAAACTTTTTTTTTCCTGCTGTTAGACATGCAGGATACACTAAGAAGTATGAAGACTAACAATGCTGCAATATCAGCACTTGAACTGATGGTAATCCCTGAATATTATTTTTTGTGACAATCATAAATGAGAAAAAATTGTTATCATAGAGGCACAGGGGAGCTTCTGGTTAAAACAAAGCTTGAAAAAGTGAACAATGAAGATAGGATGGTTGCTGACATCAAGGGAAGAAAAGATTTTTAAAAAACAAGCAGCCAAGCAAAAAAAAACCCTGGCTTGTTTTTCCAGTACTAAGTATTTAAACATTTGACTGGCGATATTCTGTTTAAAAAAAAATACACACACACACGAAAAAAAAGAAAACCAAACACAACAGCAACAACAAAAAAAACACCCAAAACCCTGTAAAAAATAGCCATTAGTATTCCTGTGTTGAAAATGTTACATAGCTGAGAAGTCATACCAGGAAATGACGCGCCTAGTGCAGCAACCTATATTATTTTTAACTCTCTCTGCTACAGAAATAAAGCTTAGTCAGGTGTACCGTTTATGTGACTCTCTATGTATCCCTGACAACTATAAATCCTGTTTGAAAGGAGCAGGGTGTGTGTCTTGAGCATACTACAATTCCATGTAGTTTCATAAAACCTGGTAATTGACTGGAGAAGAGAAACCCAAATTAATGCCCATGCTGGGGAAAAGACAGGGAGAACATGGTGTTTAAACATTTGTGTGTGTGTGATAGCCAGCCGATGAAAACAAGTGTGGTGTACTTTGCGTTGAGATTGCTGATGGAAACAACGTTACAGGTGGGAATGAGGCTAAGAGTTAATACACATAAAACAGCGTTCTCCAAGTTCTGCCTTTCATGGAAGAACTAGTATTTTACTCCTGAATGTGTTGAATATTTTCATTGCTATAATCAGTATTTTTTTCAGTGTTTGCTTTCCCTTGAAAACATTTACTAGTGTTTTTATGCACAGCAATTTTGAGATTATATTTCAAATACTGTGACTATTAAGTTAGGTCACATTTAAATGACCTGTACTATGCTTGTGAACTTTCACTATTGAACTGTAATGTGTTTGATGAAAAGGTTACTAAAGAGAATAACACTTCAATTTTTATAAAAGTGACTTTTGTGGATTCCTATTGATGGATTAGGACACAACACTGCCAGGTTTGATACACAGGATCTGTTTTGCTGAAAGAGCAGCATGCAGTTAAGAATGACCAGATCATGTGTGAAGATCACTGTTTTGGACAGAATGAACCATTTACACCACCTGCCTGGAATGCTTAACTGATCAACTACTTGACATGTATTGGTCAGGAAGATGAAGGGAAGATGGAGATACGTTGTTTTAAACTTCCCCGTCAGTCTAGCAAAGGCCAGTACATATTTCAGTTAAAGTCTATGTTTTATTTTACTTGATGCAGTGAATAATATTTAAAGGCAGGATGGGCCCAAAGAGTAGGGCACAAAGGAAGAAACAGGAATCTTGCATGCTGTACAGCCATGAGTAAGTTTATCTCCTCGTGCTGTGTTCTTTTCCCTTATGCGTTTAATCTGCTTTGTTTATTTAGACTATAAGATCTTGCAGAAAATTGCTGATTACCATGTGTTTATGCAGTCCTACTGTGGGATTTTTGGTGTGTCCATAAGACATAATTTTTATCCCCCTGGATACTGGAAATGTGATTTTGAAATTGCTGCTTATATTGGACTTACAGACTAGATATGGCAAAGCTTGATTTGCTGACATGGTTGTATAATTAGCTTGCCATAAGAGTTCAAGTCTGCGTAATGTTTTGCCTTATACAGCTGGCTAAAAGTTATGCTTATAACTTCATCTTAAGTATTTCAAACTATCAAAGGTCTGCCGATCACACAGTGAATGTGACCAAGTGAAAAATCTATGGAGGTGTTCTCAAAAGAAAGCATTTGGAAGCTGGTCCATGTTTACCAGGCCCTCTGCAGAGAGTGTCTGGTTTCATTTATGCAGCTGTGAGTGAAGGCAGCAGGTTTTCACTTGGCTGTCTCTTCAGAAAGTGAGACCTTGAAGCGAGGCCTTGCTCCCCTGAAACTACTGCTAAGGAACCTAGAGATTGTCTTTTGGGACTGTACTTCTCTTAAATTGTTTCAAGTTATAAGATCATTCACTGATTAAGTTGTATTTGGCGGACACGATAAAAGATCGGTTACATTATCATAGCAAAATATAAAATACAATTGCTCACAGCTCTTTTCAGGGTAGAATTCGTCAGGTAACGAAGGGATAATTTTTTAATTGTATATTGAATTTAACATGCTGGCAGTTTGTGCCCATCTTAGTGTGTTTATGCAAGTGGATTTGGCTTATAAGAATGCTCTGAAAAAGATAAGCTTTTTAATCTATTTGTAGGGTATTCATACACACTTACAGGTGGAAATGCCTGGTCTTTTTCTTTCAAATTCTTGCCTTCTCCATAAGCAGCACAGATCTAATGTGGGCAGTGACACCAGAAATAACTGATAATTGAAATCGCTGTTTAAATGGTTATTGTTAACTTATGGATTGAAAGTGTGTATTTGCTTTGTGTTGGCAATAATGAAGTTTCTGTGTGCAAGCTAAAATGGTTAAAATTGATAAACAAATTATTTGCTATTGTTGTTTAATTTCTAATTCAGGCTGGTTTTGGTACCAAGGCAGGGTTAGTGAAGGTTTAATAAGGCTATTAGATAAAGTAGTTGTTCTCAAGTGTAAATAAAAAGCTGTTTAAATAGCTAGAAATTATGCCTTTTTGTTGCTTTTTACTAAATCAGTGTATTATAAACACATTTATTTTTTGCTGAGGAATCAAGCCAAGTATAACGTGGGAAAAAAAAGAAGAGAAGAATTACATGTTTGAAGTGAAATAGTGCCTGGTTTGACCAAACACAGATTGAGTACTTTGTTGCAAGTTGTTTTTTTTTCCCCCACTGGCCTAGTTCTCTCTGATTTCTAAATAAGAAATGGGGTAGATGAATGGACAGTGGGATGGATTGAGAACTGGATGAGTGGCAGAGCTCAGAGGGTTGTGATCAGCAGCGCAGAGTCCAGTTGGAGGTCCGTAACTAGCGGTGTTCCCCAGGGGTCAGTACTGGGTCCAGTCTTGTTCAATATATTAATCAATGACCTGGATGAAGGGATAGACTGTACCATCAGCAAGCTTGCTGGTGACACAAAACTGGGAGGAGTGGCTGACACGCCAGAAGGCTGTGCCACCATTCAGCATGACCTGGACAGGCCAGGTTATTGGGCGGAGAGAAACCTTATGGAATTCAACAAGGGCAAGTGTAGGGTACTGCATCTGGGAAGGAATAACCCCATGCACCAGTACAGGTTAGGGGTTGACCTGCTGGAATGCAGCTCTGCAGAGAGGGACCTGGGAGTCCTGGTGGACAACAGGATGACCATTAGCGAGCAATGTGGCCAAGAAAGCCAATGGCATCCTGGTGTGCATCAAGAACAGTGTGACCAGCAAGTCAAGGGAGGTTATTCTCCTGCTCTACTCTGCTCTGGTGAAGCCGCATCTGGAGTAATGTGTCCAGTTCTGGGCTCCGCAGTTCAAGAAGGACAGGGAACTGCTAGAGAAGGTACAGCGAAGGGATACAAAGATGATTAGGGGACTGGAGCATCTTTCTGATGAGGAAAGGCTGAGGGACTTGGGTCTTTTTAGTCTGGAGAAGAGAAGATTGAGAGCGGATCTCACCAATGCTTATAAATATCTAAAGGACGGGTGTCAAGAGGATGGGGCCAGACTTTTTTCAGTGGTGCCCGGTGACAGGGCAAGAGACAATAGGCACAAACTGGAGCCAGGAGATTCCATATGAACATGAGGAAAAACTTTACTTTGAGGGTGGCAGAGCACTGGCACAGGCTGCCCAGAGAGGAGGTGGAGTCACCAACTCTGGAGACATTCAAAACCCATCTGGACGCCATCCTGTGCAACCTGCTCTAGGTGATCCTGCTTTGGCAGGGGGGTTGGACTAGATGATCTCCAGAGGTCCCTTCCAACCCTGACCATTTTGTGATTCTGTGATAAGCTTTTAGAAAAAGCAGATGAGTTAAACAGTCAGCTGCTTCTGCTCATGACCAATGTTCTGGAGCTGCAGTTTAAGCTGCTTTGGTGCTTGAGTCACATACTTTGTTGTCTTTCTGTGTTTGGTTTTTTTTTTTTTTGGCCGATTCATCTGAATTTCTTGTTAAGCTTGTGTTGATGGTAGTTTATTAAAAAGACATGATAGGAAAGTATTTGGTGCTTCACAATATCTCTAATTCTTGCAAAAGTAGTCTGCTATGGCAATTAGGGAGAGGGAGAGTGATGGGGTAGAGTGAAAGCTTTAGTTTGCATTGAATGCTAGAAATGATCATCACCTGTACTAATTTTCTAAAGAGTATATCAAGAGAAATCTAAATATACACAGCAGTGGGTGAACAAGTAATCTGAGGTATCCTAAATGATGCTTCATATGCTGTGTCCTGCATCTTTTTGAAATAGACCCTATTCATATTCTTAAATAGAAGAATAATGTATGTGTTCTATGGAAGTATAATTATTCAAACAGCTCACTTTCAAAAGTGGTTTTAATCATGAGTTGTATCCAAGATAATTTGTAGAATTCCAGGCACGGATTTTTAGCTGGTGTAAACTGTCTTATCACCACTGACTTAATGGAGTTATGACAGCTGATCTGTGGCCTACGGAACACAGAGTTCTTTCAAATTTAACTGATGAATTACAGACTGTATTTTTATTTACAGTTACAGCTTTACAGCTACTTACAGATTTACTGCAGGTGGTTGATGCACCCAGCCAAGATCCTCTCTCTTTGCAGTATGTCAAAAGATCGATTCAGTCAGGAGATCACATCAGGTGTACATAGCACCAGTAGAGCTAGCACCACGCTACCCAGCTGTTTCCAAGCCCCATTTAGTCATGGCATATGGTGATGCATTGTTGGTGATCCAGGCGTTTAGCTGAAATGGTAGTTCCTTGGTGTAGTTAAGAGCAGCTGAAAACTGGCTGGGTAGATAAGAACATAGAACTGCAAGTGGTTGCTTTGGCTTCCATTACGTTTGGCATATTGTTGTGCCAGGCATCATAAATATTGTAAAGATGCTTGGCACATTGTAAAGATTGCCCTATAAACTGCCTGCTGTTCCTGTTTCCATGTGGTCATTTCCTGCAGTTTTGTTGTTGTAAAATTGTGTGCAGAAAGCGATAGAATATCTTCAAATGCACATTTGAGTTGTTGTGGTATTGTTACACTTGTAGGAGATCTAAAATTCAGCATATACAAAGTGTTAGTGCTTTCTAATAATAGGTTCCTTATGCCAGGAATGCTGGCTTGTAAGCAAGCTATCTTTATGTCTCTTTATACTGTTGAATATTTTTTTAAGTGGAATGCAGTATGTGACTTCATCTGCACTTAAACTCCTTATGATCCTTTTCTCTCCAGGAAAATTCTGAAAGACAGATTTGAGACTATGATTTCTTTTGAGCTTAGAAATAAATGTAGGTGTCCATATTCAAGTTGACATTGTTTTTTGAAAAAGTTACTCTGTCATGAATATATGTTACTCATAGATACCTGTAATGCTCTGTTTTGCAGATGTTTCAGCAAATAAACTTGTTTGTGCAAAATTTTTCTGGTTTTCTACACATCATTCCTTACTCTCATATAGTGAATTATGAAGATGAGACTGCTACACTAAATTACTCATTGTTATAAAGTACTGTGTTATCCAGTCTTACAACATAGCAATTTGACCTTTTTTTTTGGTGTAAACTGGTATTATTAATTTAGAATCAAAGTTAAAATACCTGCAAATTTTTTTTCTTTTCCCTAGTTGGAGCCATCAAATGATTTCAGTTCGTGAGGCCAAAGCTATTCCAAGACCTGATGGTACTGAATGGAGAAACAAATTTATTTGTGTAGAAGGTAAACTGTAAAGCTTCGTTATCATTTTAAGCTGTTAAGACACCAAATACATAAATCTGTCAAGCAGACATTACGTAGGTTGTGTTTTAATAATGCAGACATGTAATACATTGTTGTAGAAAACGAAGTTTAACCAGTGTAAATAGTTTTGGGAATAGTCCTGCCAAAAACATTTGAGAAGGAAGCTTTAAGTTCTATAGTGTTTAAAAATAGTTCTCCTGACCTTTTCTTCAAGAGCACTCATTGCCCTGTTACTTTTGGAACAGGGATTAGAACTTTGACAAGGAACGGCCTTTATGACAGTAGTGTGTGTTTTCCTGCTCTGCAAAAATAGTTGTCCGTTTTGCCAAGATTGAGCTTCTGAAAAAACACGGGGCATGTATTCTGGTTCCTCTCTAAGAATATTCTTTGTTCTAGAAATGTTCTGGCATCTGGCAGTGAACAGATTATGCGTATGTTGATCCCCTTGTGGCTACTATTTTTGCCTCACTTGTGTATACAGTTTCTGCAGAGACTGTATGATACCCTCCAGAATTGGAGGGTAAACCCTTTTGGAGTTAGAGGTTTCAGCCTTCTTAGTGCAGACTGTACTGGGCAATAGCACTATACAGGGAATCCGCTTCATGTGCTTTTGATACCTTTCCGCTGCCATGGGGAATATACATGGAGAAAATGAATAGTTAGCGTGCGTAGGAGATGAAGCTTCGACCAGG